AGGAGCAAAACGAGGAACTAAAAAACCCGGGGAAACAATGACGCGAGGAAGCCGGAATCGGGACCGTGGGAGGCTGCAACAGAAAGGGGAGAAGATTACTAGGGAGCCAGGAAGCGGGGGGAACACATCAAAACATATGTTTGAGTTAGACCAGTTGGCTTACGATTAGAGCGGGACTGTGGGAGCTCGGGAGGGAAGTCCGTGAGAAGGAAATCCGTGGAGGTAGTGGATGGGCCAGATGACGCACCGGGTGATCCAAATGAGCAGGATGACAGGCAGGTGGCAGACGCTGAACGCCGGATTGAAACCTAGACACAAGTAGGCAGATTTAACGCAGCTCCAACAAGATATTAATGCAACGCTTTCGCGGGAGTCTAGTTACCACAGAGAGGTGATTGACGGACTGGCGTGGAGCATCCGTCAGCGCCGGACACAGGACCACGGACCATGACAAAAACACACATCCAGCCTCTGAGAGGAAAAGCATCAGGAGATCTCACCTTCACAATCACCAACGTAATCTTAGGTGGAATCACTTGGATCAGTTGAACCACAGAGTGAAGGAGAAATGGTAAATGCTCAACAGACTCAGTGGCCAGACACAAAGTGTGACAGTCAAACACATCAAATCAAGCATGGATCCAGTCGTGGTGCAGGCTGGTACTGTAGATAACTGTGCTCTAAGAATCATGACACACTGACATCTGCGGTGAACGTGGCCATGTGAGCTCATAAACAGTTCAGATACGTGTGTCATAGCTTCGTCATGTGATCCCAGCTGAACCTAAAACCTTAGTTATATTACGTTTACGAATTAAGACTGAATTATGTGGTTGTAGTCTTGATGTATACAAAAGAGAAACCTTTTTTAATATTCTAACTTTATTGATAAATATTTATTGAGCTTTGAATTAAAGCTGCACATGTAAATCACAGCTGATCACAGTGACATCACACAATTACAGCATGCTTAATGATTACACGATTACTGATACAAGCTTCCAGGCTGGCAGCGGTGCGTGTAATAAAGTCTGTCTCAAAGATAAACATTCAGAATATTTTGTATGAATATAATCTAAGAATATATTAATATATCTTTGAAAATGTCATTAGACAATAGATTACCCACCCAGTTAAGATTAGTCACTTGCACATTTGAAGCTGTTTAATAAAGCTAACAGTATACTATCTGTTACTGCCATTAATTACTTAATCTGTATCCAATATTTGCTTTTGTAAATAACCATGTTTTAAGCACACACAACAGTAAAAATGAACATTTTAGCTTCTTATAACCAAACCTGACACCAGAAAGAATGTGATGTCAGTTTAAAGACCTGAGCTCCAGCATCAAGTCTGCCTTTGTTACTCCAACACGTCAGATTAGCATGCTAGCTAAACTATCTGCCAGTCCCCGTATGATGAATGACCTCAGCTGTACTTCACTTATGCAACAGACAAACAGAAGAAAATAAAAAATGAAGTAAGAAAATGAAACCTGGTGTGGCAAATATGCTTTATGCTAACACTAGCTAGCCAGAAATTAATTCATAATATAGATTCTGTCACTGCTAATGAGCTGATAACACAATCTGCTTAGTGTAATGTAAAATTAATCATTGCATTTTACCAAACTGCATAAATATC